CCCCAAACCCCCAAAACCCCAAAACCCCAAAACCCCAAAACCCCAACATTTGTAATATAATTATATTTTTATAAACTCAAGGATACATATATGGAATCATACTCTTTCCTAGCCAACATTGATTCTGAAATTAACCAAGTAGGAGACACTTCTCATGATTTTGAGATAAGACCAACTCAGACAAGGCCACCTGTCTCAAGAGAGAAGATGTTCAAGTACAAAAAGTAAGTCCAACCTTTACTATGGAACTGTTACAACCTCTGCAATTCAGGTATCGCAGGCAAGATAATATTGGATTTAGAAGCTTAGTTTCAGGGATACACTTTATTAATCAGCACCTTTGCTTTCCTGATTGTCCTAAACTATTATTTATTATTCTTGATATATCTAGACTGCTTCCCTTGGTTTTTTGTTTTGGTCAGAAATTTGAAAACTTATCTGAATTCTATGCTTTTTAGATGAAATTTATTGTTGTTTTTATTATGAAAATGCTCCTTAGAGAAAAATTTACATAAATTTGAAATCCTATATCTTCCACACTGTAGTTTGAGTTGGTTCAAATAAATTATTTAAGCATACTTCAAATTTTATCATAAAAAATTTAGAATTAAGCCCACAGTAAGGCTTAACCAAGCTAAATACGAAGAAGAAAAGAAAGAAATAAAAAGACTAGAAATGGTAAATCAGCAAAGAAAAGTAAATTTATTGATTACATTGAAGATGATGATGATGAAGAAAAAGAAGAAACCGATGAGAAGAAGCAACCATTTGCCTCCTCCAAGAGCTCCAGCAAGAGCCCCTGCAAGAGATAGCAGCATGAGAAGAGAGACAACACAACTTCAAAGACCACAAGCAATAAATAGTAGAGAAGAAAGAAGGAGAAATATCTCCCAACATGTTCAAAGATTCTTTACTGATGCAGAAACAGCGCTTTCTCAAATGAATATTCAGCAAGGTATTTTGCTTTAGCAGCTTAAAAGATAATATTTCTGTATATGGTCGATCGAGCATTACTTCCTGCCTACTTTTAATGGGAATCTTCTCCACTATTTGTAATGGTAATTCATAGAAGTTGAAAACACTTATGGGAATATGGATGAGAGACTTGATGAGATTGAGAGAGCCCTCGATGAAATAAACATTTCTGTTAATAATCCAGAAGGATTCAAAGAACATAAAAATGAAAACATATTCAATAAATGGATCAATACAATCTCTCAAGATCGTTTTGTCAGCAGATGGATCACTGAGAAAGCAAATAAATCTAAAGGAGATGACGTTTGTAACATCTGCCTTGATGTTTACAATATCAACGATAGAACTTTGACTCTTCCTTGTTCTCATGATTTCCATTATTCCTGCTTGAAAGAGTGGTTTAAAAAGAAGCCTGAGTGCCCGAAATGTAGGAGAGCATTCAAATAAAAATATTTCAATCTCTGATTCATAACAAGGGGTTTTGGGGTTTTGGGGTTTTGGGGTTTTGGGG